GGACGGGAATGTCCCCGTTTCACCCAGGTTTGGTTTGAATGTTTCCTGCAGAGTTTCAGAGAATCAGGCGGCGAGGTGACGTGGAGGTATTTTAAAGCTTAAAACTGCAGAATAATATTTAAAGGTTTAACAGGCGGCTGTGATTCAACAACGCAAACACAGGAGGACCAAAGGAAGGGAGCTCGAGTGGATGGAGTCTGGGCCGGTTTGGACCGGTGTGGGACAGCGATATAAACCTGAATCTGCTAACCCGTAAGCTGAGACAAAGAGACATCAACCAAACTGAAGACAACGAACACAAAACAACCACAAAGAGGACGGAATGAGAGGAAACATCAAATTTACTTTAACTTAAGTTGTTTGATTGAAGTGTTTACACCTTCAAACAAAAATGAGGCACGGCTCATACCAACAATACGGTAAATTATCCATGTTGTTTAGCCAAGTGAGTTAGCATGCTAACGCCTATTGATGAAGCCAGGCTATATGATTGGCTGGAAGTTGGTTTAGATGACGTAGAAGATTATGGTTTATCCTGACATAAAGGGAGCAGTTTTCGCTGGATTATGTTTTGATGGGATTGAAAGAAATCTATTATCAAAGGGGACTGAGAACAGTCAAACTACTGTCTCTTTAAGGAAATGTGGAATAAAAGAAAAACTATCGATTGATCAGGGGTGGGAGAAAAAGTCAATTCACATAAGCATCGCAATGAAAATGTTTAATCGATTTTTTTTTCAAATATAAGAATAAATCTTTAAAACTGACTTACATGTGATGTGTCTTTTTCGGGGAAATATGGTTCCTGGAATAGTCAGTAGACAATCACAATCATTTAACTGTTTCAATGCTGTTAAAAATGCAAACTAAAAATCGACAATATCGTAGAATTGCGATTTAAATCGAATCGGCATCCAAACAATTGTGGGGGAATCAAATCAAGAGAAAAGCATATCGTCCAAGCCTTACTATTGATAAATGGAGATCCTGAGTACACTCGTTTTTTCTTTAGAAAAGTTAACAAATACAATTAAAACCATCTCAAAATTACAGATTCTCTCTTTTAGATGGAGAGAAAAATTTCGAGGTCAACTGAACGAACAAACTTAAAGAAAACCACAAGGGGCTTTTAACCAAGTTATTCAATGGAGCACAATGTAGTTTGTCGTAGTAGACTTGCCGAAGTGTGGCGTCTTGAACAGGCGCCGGTACCTACACAGGTGAAGCTGATCCCAGAAAATTAGGTTTAGGAAACGCAGACCAAGAATCAAGACGAATCATGACAGCAGGATAAATAAAAATCAGCTCAGATCTGTGAAAACTGCAGAAACCAGCAGTACATTAGAGTCCATTAGAGCTGATCCACTTCATCAAGAGCTCTGAGCTTTAATAAACAGAAACACAATCCTTCATCATCAACCAATCAAGTGCTGCAGGAGCTCATCTCAGCACGCCGGGCGCCTCGATCCAAATTCACATCACACTGGAAACACACACGCATTCACCTCACACAGAGGAGTATTTGCTCATATTCAAGCACGCACACACACACACACACACACACACACACACACACACACACACACACACACACACACACACACACACACGCACACACACGCACACACACGCACACACACACAGAGGCAGCTGAATAAAGCTTTATTGATTCTCCCGTCCCACGCAGGAACAGGACTTCCGAGCCTCGTACGATTATCAAACAGGAGAAGAAATGAGAGATTGAACACGGGAGCAAAGAGCCTCACCGTACACCCACCGTGACACGCGCTGAGGAGAGGAAGACGAGGAAGAAGAGGAGGAGGAGGAGGTAATTTAGGATGCAGGAGAGAGTCAGCAGAGATTTAGAAGCGTGAACTCGTCATCCATTCTTACCTCTTTTTTTAAGACCAGCTCAGATGTTTCATTTATTCTACGATTATTCAACCATCTGTTATGACGTCCTGGAGTCAGCACAGCGCTCCGTTTCTGTCTGTTAGTGTCACCTTTAAAGATGCTAACCTAAGTCTATGAGATCTATCAAACCATGAGGTCCTCTAAGCCTGAACCTGGACTCCTCTGATCCATCAGATCATCTCTGGATCACTCTGGATTATCTTCACTCCCTTGTGTTTCCTTTAAACCTCACTCTGGGTCACACTTGAAGGTGGGTGGGCAGAAATACAAGATTATGTCTGCGTGTCAGAGTGACGAGAGTGAAACTGAAAAAACACACCTGCAGGTTTGAGAACGGAGAGGCTGCCGAACGTTTAGAAAACAACTCCATGAATGTTGGACTGAAGGCAAAGAAGAGCAAAAAAGAAGATGACAGAAGAAGAAGAAGAAGTAGGAGCAGAAGAAAAGTGAAGAAAAAGAAGAGCGATAAGCAAAAGAAGAGCAAAAAAGAAAAAGAAGAGAGAAGAAGACGGAAAAGGAGAAGTATAAGAATAAGTAGAAGAAGAGCAATAAAAAAGGGCGAAGAAAAAGAGTGAAGAATTGAAAAAATGCAAAAAAGAAGAAGAGTGAAGAAAAAGGAGAGGAGGAAGAAGAAGAGTAAAGAAGAGGGGAAAGGAGAAGTAGAAGAAGAAGAACGAGAAGAAGCAGAAGAAGAGTGATAAATAGAGGAAGAGCGAAGAAGAGCAAAGAAGAAGAAGAAGAGCAAAGAAGAAGAAGAAGAAGAGCAAAGAAGAAGAAGAAGAAGAGCATAGAAGAAGAGGAAGAAGAAAAGAGCGAAAACGACTGAAGAAGAAGAGCGAAGAAGAAGAAGAGGGAAGAAGAAAAAGAAGGAGAAGAAGAAAAACATGGATGAAGGGATAAATAATCGACTTTGTTGAAGCTAGCTCCTTTTATTTTGAAACTCGCTTCTCTGCGGTCTGTAACTCTGCTGTTATCTCATTGGTCAAAGAATCAGAGATTTGAGGGGGCGTGTCATGGCACCTGTCACTCACTTATACTAGGATATGATTGGAAGATGAAGCTACAGTCAGAGATATTGTATGCTCCTCTGTTAGCTAACGTTGCTACTCGAGGTTTCAGCATCAACGTTTGAAATAAAAACGTTATTTGAGGAGAATTTTCCGTCATTTATGTCTCTGCTCTGCATTCAGCCCACAAAAGAAAACTGAACAACCAGAGCAGAGAAGAAGAGAGGCTGCAGGAGCTCCACAACAATCTGAACCTCCTCATCCAGCTCACAGTGAGCAGCATCAGATCATCTCCATCTCAGATTTCATAACCGCGGCCCCTCACTGGAACCAAAGCACGCCAAGCTGCTGCACGCCATATCTGCAAATCTGTCAGCAGCAGCAGCAGACACGTTCTTCCAAATCAGGCCTCTGCAGCCTGGAGGATCCCGCAAGACTTTGGCCTTTAGTGACACAAATTTAGGACTAAAGAAGAAAACATGAGGAAGAGCAAACAGGGAGCATCAGAAATAATCAGGGCGTGTCCGAAAAACAGCAAGAATCTGAGTCCAGACAGTCCCAACACTCTGCAGGTTTAAAAAGAAGAAGAAGAAGAAACCAGAGGAGGCCTGAAGGCTGCAGACAGACGGACAGACACAGACAGACAGGTAAAGGGACACTGAGTTACTCACAGAATGAAGATGACGACACCAGGAGCCAATTTCAGTAGATTCCCGGGGATGATGGAAGCCACTTTAATCTCAGCAGGATCCAAAACTCACGCACACGCACAGAAAATACCATCCACAAGGAGGAATTCTGGGAAAAAAAACTCCAGGGCGGCGAGGGAAAGTCTTTGCTGTCCTGTGCTGTCTCGGACTTTTATTCTAAAATCTGTCGGTTTCTTCCTGTTTTGTTTTGAACTCTGGTGTTAACGGTTTGACGGGTCCGCTCAGGGAGGAGGGAACAGAGGGTCAATAAAAACAGGAAAGTTTAACATCCGAGGATTTTCCTTCACGCTTCTCCATGTCGGCGTCCTCCTCTGAACCTCTGGAGACGAAGAAATGAGTGAGCGGGACCGGGCCAGAACCAGACTCAATCAGAGGCAGACGGGCCGAGATAATGGTGTGTATCGCTGGCACCTGCTCTGCCTTCCTCTTTCTCTTCCTGTCTGCTGTTCACACCTGACTGCAGAGATTAAGGCATAGAATCAAATCCTCTTAATTGGCCCTGATGGTGGCGACCAGCCAACTCCTTCTCTCCTTCTCTCTCTCACCTGCTCGCTGCGAGGAATTCCAATCAGGACCTGGGAGGCTGGGGCGCCTGTCAGTCAAGACTCAGGGCTCCTACAGTTACCTGCTGACTCACAACTGCTTGTTATCTTTGCTGCGTGCCGCCGCTCTGAGCTCGCCATTTCCTCCCAGCTGCTCCGCCCCCTACTCCTCCTTCTAATCGATCACTCAGGACGACTGACAGATCCTTTAAGCCCCTCCCCTCGGGTCCTTTGGCGCCTTTTCGATCCCCGGACTCTTTTTTTCTTCTCCCTCTTTGTGTGTGAATCTAATCTCTGCTGCTCTTCCTGTGTCTAATCCCCATCTCGATCGGCTGCTGCTAATTGGTTTCAGGTGTCTCCGGCGGCAGGAGAGCAGAGAGCGGCGAGGGAGGGGGGGGCCGGCGGTTTGAGGGTGTTGTCGAGGGAAGATTTCACGCCGCCGTCGCCATTAATTAAAAAGATGATTACTCTGAATACAAAGATTAAAGAGGAAAATAGGAAGCGTGGCGGCTGATAATAACCTGGTGGCACTTTAGAAGTCTTCGCTCAGCTCCTTCAGTGTGTGTGTGTGTGTGTTTGTTTCAGTGTGTGTCTGTGTGTGTGTGTTTGTACACTCAGCAGAGAAGTTTGTCAGAGGTTTCTGCAGGTCGTCTCGGCTCCATGACAGGACGAGCAGCAGCACATCACCTCCTGAAATTCAACATCCTCCAACGTTCAGAAGGGCTCTGATTGGTCCAGCTCGCTCAGGTAAGATCCACCGTGTCGCGCTCAGAGTTCAGTCCAGTTTCTCCAGGAAATCCAGATCAGACTAAATCCAAGGTCTAGTTTCAAACACCCAGAATCCTCTTCTCCTCCTCCTCGGTGTCCTCGCGTCTGCAGCGTCTCAGTCTCTGGATGGATGCGGTTAGGCCGAGGGTGACGGGTCGGTCCGCGGAAATAAACGTGTCAACGCGGCGCTGAGGATGTGTGGAGATCTGCAGAGACAAAAAGACAAATGTGAGTTTGAGGAGGTTTGAATTCAACATCAACACCTGAGGACTAAACTTTCAAGGGACTCGGTGGTCCCGTTTGGCCCAGTCTGGTCCAGTTTGGTCCAGTAAACCCTGATCTTGCTTGTGTTTCTACAGCAGACTCCAAATACTCATAAAGTCATCAGACTTCATATGATCCAAATTAAATTTGGTATTGAACTAAAAGAGACCTGAATGATTCGACTTTATAAAACTTGGACAAAACTCAGACAGCGTGATGTCTTCTAATGAGTGTAACATCAGAAACAGGTGGGCACTGATTAGGAGAAAAATCACCTGGAGGAATCCTCCACCAGGCGGTTAAAACTAAACAGAGTCAAGGAAAAACAAAGACAAGACATAACGGGCTCTGCAAGAACCGAGGTACAGGTGTCTTTTGCTCGCTGATTTAAAGCCCAAAAAAAAGAAATTAAAATAAAGGAGATTATGGAGCCGTTACATCCATGAGTTCAGTGTTTTCAGCTTTGGCTTAATACTTCTGCACTTTCTTTGTGTTCAGACTCAAAAAATGGGACACTATTAGGGCTGGGCGATATGGAAAGAAGTTTATCACAATATATTTTTATCATTTCAGTCGATATCGATAAATATCACGGTATAAAAAATTAAATCTAACAGTGTTTATTGGTCTCATGTCTTTTCCAACACAATAATCTCCTGCATCTGTGAGGTCTTTGTGTCTCTTTGACGTTTTGTCGTAAGGCGTCGCTCTAGAGAAAGCCGACTGAATGGTCGTCTGTTTCGGCTCCTCGCTCCTCTCGGGGTTTGTAACCTCTTGCGTTGCGCGTGCTCTGCGGCGTGGCGCTGCTTCAGGTGGTGAAAGAGATTTGAGGTATTCCCCGACTTTGTGAGAACATGTACTCGACATAATTTACAGTCCACATTACTCTGCTTCATGTCCTCAAAACACCAAAATACCTCCACACCACCGACGTTTCCGCCAGTGTTGTCGTTGACGATGTGGTCATCCGTTGAGCAAATTAACCGTGTTTTATATCGATATTGAGGGAAATTAATTTTCGATATATATCGTCATCGTTTTATCGCCCAGCCCTACACACTACAATATCGGAAACTCACAGGTAGTGCCAACATATTCTTGGAAACACCTAAAGAACATAAAACTTGGTGAAGATAAATGTCCTCCATGTCCTGAAGATGATACAGATGTTTGTCCTTCCTGACAGCGATTCTTCAGAGCGAACAGTTTTGTCTCTTTTTTTATTTGTCTGGATAAAAGCAGCAACAAACACATTTCTAATATTTGTTTCTGCACAGGACAAGAAAATAATAAATCATGAAAGGAAGACAAAACTCTGAGCGTGATTCACATTTTTCAGTTAAACAGCGGAGATAAAGACAACAAAGAGGATTAAAGAACTTATTCAAGCAAAACAACAAAAGAGAAAAAAAAATCCCACACAAGAAAAATCAAATGAAGCCAACAAGCGCAGACATGAGTGGAGTGGATAAAAGCTCCTAAATGACAAGAGGAAGAACATGGAGCGCAACAAACAAACCACAACAAAAACAAGAGGAGGCTCCGAACTGAGAGGAAATGAAGTCTCAGGGGGGAGTGGGAGGGGAGGTTTTTTTTATGGAAAAGAGTGAAGAGGGAGAGGAAACATGTTCACGATGGAGAAAAACAAAAACAGCTGAGAATGAGTGGAGAGAGTGGGCGGAGAGCGAGCGCCGACACACAGAGAGAGAGAGAGAGAGAGAGAGAGAGAGAGAGGTCGATGAAGAGGTCGTCGACGTGACAAACTGGACTCAGGTTAGCTTTGACCACAGAGACTGATGTTTGTAGTGGTAGATAAAGACATTTTCATGTAATCCAATTTAAGATTTTCTGCAGTACGCACGGTCAGCTCCCAAAGAACACCATCTTCGTTTACTCGACAGTCGTGTTTGACCGATTTCCAGTTCCGATCGTCAGGACTCTGGTTTCCACTGAACTGATGTTCTCATCATTTCTCAGTGGTATGAGAAATGACAGGATAGGGCTGCTCAATATATCGTTTAAGCATCGTCATCACGATGTATGTGTGCGTGATAGTCACATCACAGAGCCTGCGATGTCAGAGGTCAATGAACTCATCTAATTTCACAGGTAGCTGATTAAGATACGCTGCATGTGACTCTGCATGTGCTGTGTCGCGATCCACCAATCACAATTATTCTTTACTCAGTTGCCAATCAGACTACACTGCCATCCGTCGGTCAAAATCAGAGAGGAGGAAACCACGCCTACTGCACATGGAGTGAGTCGCTGGTGCTGCCGGTGTTGTGCCGAGAGCATTGAGCCTTGAGGAGCTCCTGACACTCGTGGTTCGCAGTCTTCTCCTCGCCATGATCCCGGAAAAGATTGAAGATTAAAGGCAGATCCTGATGAATCTACATCAGAGGGTGTGGTCTCTAAAACCTCATCACAACACCAACGAGCTCAGGTGGACGTTTGCACCTGTCTGAAGAGATTTCCTCACGATTCTCCTGAGAAATCATTTTTACCAAAACAGCGGTCACTGCTAACGGCGTTATCACAGACAGTAAATTAACTGATTACAAATGAATAAATGAGGAGTTATGAAAACATTCACACTATTTGAAATTATTGTAATTGGTATCATTTGACAAACTCCCCCTGAAATGTAACCTGGTTTATTTCCAAACTGAAGCCATGATCCCGTCTCCTGCTTCAAACGTTTTTTTTTAAATACCCCCGTTACTGTGAGCTGACTCACACAGGCAGGAAAATATGCTGTTTTATTGCTGCTGCTGCTGCTGCTGCTGCACACTCACTTGTTGCATAACATCAACTGAGGCGAGAGCAGAGCTGTATGACGGATACAGCTGATAACAGGAGATATCAAAGTCAGATCTGCTTTCCAGGATGTTCTCTGCAGACCAACATGTTCTTCTGAGGAGAGAACAGACACGTGAGAGGTAGACCATATTATCTGGAATGTGGGTCACACCTTGAATAAGACGGTCTGTTTGGGGGGGGGGGTGGTGGTGTCCCACAGGGGAAAGGAGGTTTTATTCATCAAAGTCCAGAATGAGCAGCTCCTCTGCAGCTGTGGAGCTTTTTCCAGCACCACCTGTTTTCATCATGTGGGGTCTGTAATCCTGATACCAGATAGCAGAGCAGTCACTGAACTCAAGTCCGTAATTGTGAGGTTCAGATCCAAGTCACCTGCAGAAGCACCACCCAGGCTGCATGTAATAGTCGATTACTGCAGCTGCACCAGCTCAGGATGAAGCCCACGATAAAGAGGGGACTGAGGGTGCGTGGAAGTGGGAACCTCAGAGCTCATGAATGTTCATTATCATTTTCACTCTGCTCAGTACCTCTGATCGAACACGGCAAGGATAAATGTGGCTCCAGCAGCTCTAAAACCTGAAGTCTTTCTCTTCCTTGCGTCGAGAAATTATGAGGGACGAACAAATCGATATGCAGACACTCGTATGTTTTCATGACACTCGAGAAAACCGAATTATTGCCTTGTACCTGTGCTGTAGAATCTAGGGCAGTTTTAGCCCGTTTGAGACTAATCGGTAATCGGCCAAAACTCGCTGATTTTCGCCGATATTTTCAGAAATAAAATGTGGAGAATAAGATTCGGTTTCATGCAGCGACCTCATGACGATCTTCATCCACTAACTACCTCACAGCACAGCAGAGTGACAGATCTGAAGCAGCAGCTCAGGGACGCACGGAGGAGAGTGGTCCGCCTCAACGGGAAATAAACCAGTTTGTCAAATACACAATAAGTCAACAAGTTTCAGTTCAACACACTTCACCATGTTCCCCGCTGTGCTGGTCTCGGTACTGTGCCAGTAACGGTAGAATAAACAACAGTACACATTAGTGATCGAGATACTTCTCTGACTGAGGCAGCTGCATGTCTCCAGATGAGACCGGACCGGAAATGAGGAACGGGAGTGAAGACGCAGAGACACCGATCGGCGCACGGGGGGGTCCTGTCGGTATGAGGAGCAGTAACCTACAGAACATATATACAGTATACTGTATACTGTATATATCTAATGGTATATATATATATTTTTTATAACTTCATAAAAAAAATAAAAAAATCATCTGATTAATTGGTGATCAGATTCCCCCCCCCCCCCCAAATAATCGGTATTGGCCCCCAAAAATCCATACTGGTCGTAGTAGAATCAGTCCAGAGTGAACACTGGTCTCTTGAACAAACTCGGCTGAAGAAATGTGCGGCTTTGACAGATAATCAGCAAAGACCCACCACCTCCTTTTAACGAAAATTTAAGTTTCTGTTCTTCATTTTATCATCACTGATCGTCTCCACTTTAAACTTGTAAAGTTAATTTAGTCTCATTCACTGTTCTGTTAAATCACAGTCCATCTGTCGGACTCTTTATCTTCTCGAATAAGAGAACAGAATTTTCCAAAAATTCTTCTTCGTGGTTCAAAAAGCAAAGATACAGATGTTTCGTATCCTCTTATTAAGACTTGAAAGGATGGTGGCTCTGTTTGATATTCATTGTAGATCCGTTTCATGTTTTACCTCCTTTGCATAATCTGTTGTCTGTATTTAATGTTGGTTCATGTCTTTTATGTAAAAGCTGCCTGGTGGGATAAAGTCGCCTGAATTAATCAAAGTAATTGAGTTAACTCTCCCTGAGTAGGTCTGTGATATTTGCTCTCTGCAGGTTCTGAATGTATCGCACTGTCCTGTTCACTTCTAATGTATTCTAATGAATGCAGTAATAGTCAAAACACTCCCACATGTCTGAGCTTTAAGTACAGTAACATTTAGACCGGAGCTTTTAAAGAATCAGAGCCGCCCGACTCTACAGCTGTGACATTTTAAGAATATGTTTGGAGATGTAAAATCCACCTTTCAAAGCCGCTGCTACTCTAATGACGCGTCAGAGCGCCGCTCCAGACGAGTGTTTTTACTAAAGCAGCATTTAGACCAGAGTGGCTGTGCCCTCCGAGCCAGTCACCCTGCAAACCTGAGACTTTCTCCGAATAAAGTGGATCTTAACAGCCCTTTGAGCTCTGCAGAGAGGGAGCACAGCTGCTTTAGATATTCACTCATGCATTCATCCACCGCACAGGTCATTACACGCCTCACCCCGTGTGTCTCCACCTGTGCCGGCTTCACCTTCACAGCCCGTTCGCTCTTTGTTTGGGGACGGCTGTATTGATTCTGCGAGAATACCTACAAGCTGCTCGTTCATCATCGGTCCGTTTTAAGATCTGACAATGTGAAAGCACGCTGAAGCCATTCACGGCGCCGTCTCTGCTGAGTGTTTTCAGACGGTTCAATATCGGCTTCTATCAGCTGTACCACCACAGAGACCTTTCTGACCCCAGAAATAAACTCACAGACACTAAACTGTTGGAAGAAAAAGAAGAAAGCGCTCTCGTGATTCTAAAGAAGCACGGCTGCTGAAAAGTCAGACCGCTTGAATACGACAAAGATCACAACCGCAAAACTTTAACTCCTAGTAGAGCAAGGTCTGAACTCTGCAGATTCAAAAAATCATTCAGACTTTTCAACCACTTACTACTTCGCATCATTATTAAAGGGATAAAGGGAAACAAACACACCGTAACACCGAGTTAGACACCCCCTTGGGAGATAAATCGATCATTTCTTCATGGAAATACAATCAGACCGAGACGCTAAGACAGAAGAACTACCGCGTCTGAAAATGATTAATATGATGATTATTACTTCAAGGAAATGATAAAGAAATGATCATAAATGTTCTTCCTTGAGCTGCGGCACCCCGCTGTAGTCCGTAATGGACTGGCCTGAGGTCTCTCTACAAACAAGCGTCTGCTGGAAGAGAGTAGGTGAGTTGTGTTTAGTCTCTTAGCTAAAGAAATGAGTCAAAGTTAAAAAGATGTTTGGTGTCTAGTACTATGGCTGTGACCCTATATGTCCTGTTGATGAAGTTAGGTGCTGTTCTGAGCATTATTTGTGGCTATAGAGTGGCGTTTTGGTTGGGGGCGTGGCTCTCTGTATTACTATCCTGCGGTCGTTACTAAAGTTGGTATAACTCGAGAAGTAAAAGATCGGCAACATTCATCTCTGTAGGGGGGTCTAACTCGGAGTGTTTGACCCTAAATTAAATTTACGCCGGAATATCCCTTTAACTCTTTAACTTAAAGAGTTCTCACACGTCGTCAGCTTTGGTTTGGTTTCTCTCCGTCCTCCTCCTCTCCTCTATAAAACTCTTCTATCATTCTCTACAAAATTAAATTTAGCTCTGCCATTGAAACTCTGTATTTGGATCCTTTTCGCTGCTCTTCTCTTTCTCAGGTGATTCTCAAGGTTAAAGTTTGCAGCAGAACGGCTCCAAGTGCTTCTTTTGTCCCTTAAAAACAGTTTTTTTTTTATTTGTTGACTAAACTCGGAGCTTCTGTTGTGGGTTTCTGTTCACTGTCAGACAGATAGTGACAGTTTAAGAGCATTGGTTGGACATTTCTCCTCTTGAAGGTTATGCCCAGAGTTTGAGGATGAATAAGTTGATGAGGAAAGGGTTAAAGTTCTCCTCCTCTTCTTCTTCGGTGGTGATTTGCAGCATATTTCAGATCATGTAGCGGAGGTGAAAAGCCAAAGTGAGTCTTCCTCTCAGCACCAGAGTCTCTGGAGGACGCGGGTGAAGTGAAGCTGCACAGCGCTGTTAGTTTAAAGTCACTCTGACAGACGCTGCAGCCCGCTGTAATGTGCTTGCTGTTTAAGGTTGTCTGCTGTCTGCAGTTCTCCTCATGTGGAACCCAACAGGAGTTCTACTTGACCGTCGAACCCCCCCCTCTCCGCTGTGTCGCCCCCACGCTGCAGCCTCGCTGGGTTCTGACAGCGTTACATAAGCGGGGCGGTGGAAAGCGTTCCAGAACCGAACGCTGTCAATGGATGACCTTGGGCTGAAAGACTGCAGAGTTTCGTTTGGCAGTGTGTATGTTACATCACATAAACATAATGCAGCAGCAGCAGCAGCAGCTCTGGAGCTCCTCAGAGAAACTAAAAACTCACAATAAAGAGATTAAAGCTGCTGCATGAACAAACGCTTCCATGACGAGGCTTCGGACCGCTGCGGTCTGCATTCACAACAACAAGACGCACCGCGGCGTCACGGTCAATGGGCGTCGTGTGCTCCGATAAATCCTACAGAAGAGGATTTCAGTCAGTCAGATGGTCGCCCTCTAAGATCGGCACATTGTTGACTAAGACGAATAAAAGTCCGTTCACTGAGAGTTTGGTTTGGCTCAAAGTTTCTCCAGAGAAAAGATCCAGATTTATTCACCAGAGGGACTGATCACTCTGGATTAATGATCAGGATTCTGTTAAATCACTGAACTCAAAGATCAATGTTGAAACTCAGAGATGGAGTCAGAATTTTTAAAGTCTCAGTTCTGTGATTAAAGTCGGAATTTTCAGGTTTAAAACAGAATTCAGAGATTAACGCCAGAATTTTGAACCTGAAGTAAAATTAGAAAATTTAACTCAAAACTCTGAGATTAAAGTAAAATTACAAGATTAAAGTCAGAGTTCCAAGATTAACGATCATAGACTGTATATAAGAATGGACGCTGTCTGCATCCCCGCTGGGTGAAGTCACTCAGACAACAGCACCCTCTGGTGACGGGCTGCAGTATAGGTCATAAATCCCGCCTCCTCCAGCAAAGCTTATGGAGCTGTGGACAAACTTTATAAATTTATTACACAGAATATAAATGTTTCTCCCCCCTGGTTGTGATGTTGACATGTAGTTACTGTCAGACTGGTTTGTGCTCAAGTCCTCTTTTTTTCCTGTACAGCTCAGTTTTTAAAAGTTATTAGAGGGTACTAAGATTGTGTAGCTCCAACGCTGTTTGAGTCGAGCGTCATCACAGCGACTCTCCCGCCAAATTCGTACAACACTACTGCGCAATCTTGGTTTCAGGAAATGAAGAAAGATCGCGGAAATAACAAGAGCTTTTCGGCTTCAAATCTGTATATTTGCGGGGGCCGGAACCAAGTTGTCCAGAATTTATACAGTCTATGTGTGCGATGGACTCACGGGTTAAAGAAAGATATCTGAGATTAAAGTAAAATCTTGAGATTAAAGTCAGAATTCTGAGATTAAAGCCTGAATTCTTAAATCAAATTTGGTATTTTTTTGTGTGTGTGTTTGGAGTCGCTGTCTCTGCTGTCGGGTCTCTTTAAACCACTTTAATTATTCCCATTTTTCACTGCATTAGTTATTCTCTTTTCTGTTCTAAACTGCAGGTTTGGATGAATCTTATCCTCAAAACGTCCCCATGGTTTTCATTTTATTTTACTTCTCAAGGTCCATCTCTTCCTACTCTACACTGAAGTCCGCTGTCTATTTCTAGACATGAGAACATATTCTATTCTTATGATGTCCTTACCCGGGTTCACGTCTGATGAATGACGCATCTGTCTGTGGATCGGAGTAATGATCCTCCTCACTTCAGTAAAAAAACACTCTTGTATATTCATCATTAACTGGATCCAGAGAGGGAGAGTTTTTTACGTCCTACAGAGCGAATCGATGGAAACATTGTGGGAACATATCTGCAAATATTTGTTGGATTTAGAGTCCCAGAGTTTGCTGTTGTCAGTTTGTTCCAGCTCTGTTTGTCTCTGATCATCTGAGACAGGAACCATCTGTGACTAAAAACCCTCTGTGTGAAATTTAATGTTCTGACCTAAATGACTTCCCCTGTGAGGGTGATTTGTTACACTTAGTGAACCACAGTCACATTCGCTCAGGAGCGAAACCCACGGAGCTTTATTTCTCAGACTGATGTAACACGAGAACACTCGGGCTCGTCGGTTTGTGTGGAGCTAAAACTAATCAATGCCGGTTTAACTTTTAATCAGAGCAAACAAAGAGAATCACAGACAGGAAATTAATCTCTTCTTCAGAAAGAAAGAAAGAAAGAAAGAAATGTACTTAGATGTCGAGGATAAGACAATGCACGTGGCATTCATTCAGCTATATTTCCCAAAAACAAAGACACCAGAAAACAGCGAGTGTCCATGATGTAGCTTCACTTAAGAGTCTTTTAAATAAGTCCTGTGATTTAAGCTCAACATACCCGAGGTAACTTTTACTTCTCTGGATTCAATAACCCTGAAGTTGGTTATGACTCAGCCCACGGTGAGACGTGTAATATTAACTCTCCATTGTCAGTCTAGCTCCCAGCAGAGCTCATATTTGAAGAGTCACATTAGTAGCCTTACTTCAATGAACATCTCTGGCAACAAAATGCCAACAAACATGACAGCAAAAGCGTCGGTCCAGAAAACTACTAGACAACCAGTCGACGGCGGAGCTACTGCTAAAGATGGCGAAGTAGCAGGAGCTCCTCTCGTGGCTGCTGCGGCGGCTGAGGCGACAGCTAAAGTGGCGGCTATGATGGAGGAGAGGATGTTTGTCGCACAAAAGTCAGTACGAACCAGATCCAAGTCTCATCTATCAAGACCTTCATGAAGCTGTGAGGAATATAACAAAAGTGAATATACGTTAACATGGCTGTGGGGGAGCCGGGTGGACGCTGACCTCCATCCTCTGTTTTCTGTTAGGGCCTAACACTCAGACCGTTTCATGTTTGTGTAAAAACCTCGAGCGCTGAAGTGGCGACATGTAGAGCTGAGCGAGCGCTAACTGCTGTGTAAAAAGTAACACCCAGGATCTGTGTTTGACTTCATGAGCGGAAAAGGCCGAGGCTGAAAAGTGCTGAACGAGGATTTCCACAGACAGGTTATGGAATCATTCAAATGTACAAACATGAACTTCATGAAGTCCTCTATCACGAGGATTTCATTGTTGTTCAGAGGACTGAAAGGCTGTATATTTATCCGTCTCTCATCTTCTCTCCTTTCTTTTCGATGACAGAAATATGCCGATTGTGCTTGAAATGGTATTCTCTCTTTGAATAATATTATTTGCCTCTCGGTGCGTCTCTGACTCTGCGGTGATTCATCTCATCCATCCACTTGGACGGGAGGAGTCGTCCTCCAATTACAGACCAGCGTTCTTTCCCGCTGTGCGCACATTAACTCGGTAAAAGGCTGTTCACGTAGGCTTTAATGACCACATTTAAACCCGCACCTGACATCTCCTCCTGTTTCCACCTGACATTAAATGCGACGGCTCGCTCTCGCCCCTCGCCTGTGACTGTATCTGACGTGCGAATGGCTTTTCAAAAGGCGTTGATCGAGTTTCTAGCTGATGTCATCTGGCGTGTTGGACATGATGGATGCTCATCCCCCGTACGAGGCGAGGGGAGGCGGGCTGAGGGGTGATATATGTCTGCTGGCATCATGTGGGTTAATAAAGTGAAGACGCACAGAGGCAAAAGGAGATCGGAGCTGCTGATGTCATCGGACGCCATCTGTGGAGAAATTACAGCTCCATCAGTCAACGTCCTGCTTTTACGCTTCTTTAAAATCTGTTTTTCACACCGTCCTCGTCCATTAGCGTCCTCTGTCCCACTCCTTATCGTCCTTTGTCTCTCTCTCTCTCTCTCTCTCCGCCTTCCTGTCTCCTTGGCTCAGGTCATCAGAACATCTTCGTACAGGAGAAAATAAAGCAGCCGGCTCTAAACGCTCCGAGTTGTGTGAATATAAATGTGAGTCTTTCTTTGCAAACACTCTCTGCAGCAGGTCTGAACAACAATGTAAAGATCTGCAGCCTTGGACCCGAGTCACACACACTCGAAAAACTCAAAAAAGCCAATTTTTCACCATTCAGACTGAGCAGAAAAACATCATGGTCAACCTCCACACACGTGTAAAAGAGACAAATTTCTGACCAAGTAAAGGCAGCTGGTCAGAGGGGCGGTTCCTGATTGGCTGTTGTTTGGTTCCACACACTACTGCATCTGGAACCGGATTAGTTAGTGAGTTGAATTTCATGGCGGATTACTGACAGCGGGAATCGCATGAGATCACTAGAACCTACGGATTCACGTGCAAATGTGCGATAACGAGTAGTCTCTCTAAAGACAGTCACATAGACATATAAGCAGTAGATTGTGTCCTTCCAGAGGAGGAAATCTACTTCTAGACTTCTAGAATCAGCATCTCCTCATCCATGGTGTCATCGGGGTGAAATGACATCTATAAACCTTTCACTTGTTCGTCTCCGCCAGAGTGTTTTATTTTGAAAAGAAGCCGGATGTTTTATTTTGTGTCTGTGCCCGACTTCCTTTCCAGCACGGGTTAATCTGTGCTGAATTTATTCGACATACTCCGACATCTGGAAAAACTAGAACTCTGGTGATCCGCAACGGAACAGAAAGAAGCCGGTGGAAATTGACACGTTACTGTATTCTTCGCACTTTAAGGCGCACCAGATTATAAAGCGCATTAAGCCAAACAAAACAGTCAGATAAGTCAAACTTTATTGAACTCATTCAATAACTCCGCAAGTGCGATTTTAAGTGCGCCTTATAGTGAGAAATATACGTTAACTTGAATGGTTACAATCAGCTGCGATCGGCAGATACGGCCTTTTCGTAGCCGTTCTGGATGCGGTGGAAATCGGGGGACATGTACTCTTTAAGCAGGTGCAGATCGGGGAAGACATGAAACAGGAAAACTAGAGTTTGGGTTCAGGTTCAGGACAGGTCTCAAAACGGAGTGACTTCGGGGACCATGTTGACATCGTTGAACCTCATTCTTTAAAACTCAGCAGACACTCAGTTCAACATTGAAACATCAGATCAGCGTAATTAAACAGGTCTGTTTTACAATCTTTAATACTCAGCCAGAGCTGCTGCTCCGCCTCAAAACAGTCAACTTTGATCTCTGGAGTGGAGGATGTGTTTACAGGGAAGGCGGACTGCAGAAACATCTTCATATCACCATGAAAGTAATGTTATGATACTTTTCTGCACAGCCGGATGGAGAGGAAGTCATTCACTCATTTCAGCATTAACCTTGATTTTTAAAGCAGGTGAAATAATTGCTCTTTTAACCGCGTGATCACTCGTCTCTGCTTCGGTTTGGTTGCTGTTTCTGTTCACAGTCTGTTGAGTCAGAGCATGAAAAGTGTGTGTTTGTGTGTGTGTTTGTGTGTGTTTGCAGGTTCCAGCAAACATTTCCAGTTGGAGGAATATGAAAGAGGCTGCAGGTAAAGCAAAAGGTGTAACACTCAGAGTCTCACGCTCATGAATACAGTCAGACATGTAGGCGGGCCAACACACACCGAGACTTTAATGCGATCAAACAGTCGGCGTGGATCCGAGCGCACACATCTGATCGGTGCAAAGGCGTGCACACACACTCCCAGTCTATGCACATGCACAAAGCAAATCAAACACACACACACACACCTGCTGACACCCGTGCAGAACAAATGTCGACTCCATCAGCTCTCTCTGTCACCCGCGGTGACAACAGCAGCCTAACGCTCTCTGGAATACAGCACGCATACATTAAACCTGGAAAGGCTGGCTCTGGATTTCCACCCACCGCCCTCACATCTGATCACTCCGATTCTCATGATAACAACTCGCTCTGTCTCGTTCACTCACACACAGAGAGGAGATGACTCAGTGCGCATGATACGCCGGCATGATCCAGATCTAAGGCGTCGTGCTGCAGTTCACGGAAAACCAGCGCTCGCAGAAAAGATGCAGAAGTCGGAGTCAAAACCAAACAGCAACCTCAAAGTTTGTAAAAGGAAGTTCATGAGGAACTGCTAAAAACCAGAGCCACAAGAAACCCATTCATTTGATCTAACCACCACATATACTGGGCGAGGGTTTGTCAGTGTAACGGGAAATTTCCCTCCATAGTCGTGGTCGGTTGGTGGTACTCACATAAAAACAGAAAAATGTACACCGACCCAGACGGGGAGCAGAGAGCTGACATGATGACCTGCATGACTGCAAAAGACCAAATTATATATATACATACACCATATATAACAACAGTACAGGGGGTGGCTGTGACCCACAATTTTCACTGCATCTGGAACTGCGGCGATTATCGCTGTCCGACAATTCCTACCAGATCCGATGGTGAGGCGAATTTCGTGGCGGATTACAGACGATCGGAGGATACGACCTTTTAGGAGACGATCCGGATGCAGTAGAAATTGGGGGTGAGACTGCGCTCAACACAAACCAGGAAATAAGTGCATGAGGTGTTTTAGTGCAAAAGTGAAAGTGCAAATTCATACAAGGTTACAACTAAACGCACAGCTTAGCTCGCTGTCAGTGTTGGCGTGTTAGCGACTTGCGCTGTGTAACAAACTTCAAATGTCACATATTTAGTCGCAGTAAAACACTAATGGTTGTTTGGATTGAGTTGAGAAGCATCTTGAGTCTTTAAGACTGTCAAAGGTTGGAAAAATAGCTGCTCCTCCATCATCATCATCATCATCATCTTCATCATCATCATCATCATCTTCATCATCCGTAGGTGCCTGGATTCAGAGGTTTGGCCGCTAACAACCACATTTCTCTACGTCGTCCTTGAGGAGCAGTTTGGTTCGGTGGTTTCAGGCCTTCTTCCTTTTTCTGAGTAACCGCCCGTGAACGTCTGCTGTTACCAAACTAAATGATTCCATTCTGCATCGTGGTTCAGGCTCGACACGGCGCCTGAGAGGCTGTTTGTTAAAGAGAGCCGTCGGCAGCTCTTAAGTACACATAATACACATAATCACAGCAAAGATCATCCTCCAGGAGAAGTCTACTCCAGCTTAAATACTGCACTTACTCACACGTGCGCGCTGGAAACGAACCCGAAGAGTCGCATGAATAAAGACTGAAAAACGATGGAAGAGGAAGTCTTTTCATCTGAATCCTTCATCCTGTTTTTGTTGTCAGACCAACGACCGACAAATACAGAATCAACAGGAAATCTCCTCACAGCTGTAGATAATGGATCATATGTTGGTGGTCGACACTGGCTAACACTCTGGAGAGCTAGAAAGAAACCTCTGTTTGAGACACAGTGAAACTGAGACCACCCAGAACCAGATGAACGAGACCTCCTCCTGGGTCTGTTACTGAACACTCCAGTGACTCTACAGAAATATCTGACTGATATCTGAATCAGTAACCGAGGCTGAAGCATCCATGTAACTCACAGTTTACACTCAGTACGTTTACATGACACACGAGAAAACCGAATTATCGCCTTACTCCGACTAAGACCGGACGACTGAAGTACATGTAAACACTTTAGTCCGACTATAATCAGAGTTTGAGAACCCTGATTAAAAGACACCCAGATAGGAATTCGATTGGAATTCGATTTTCTTTACCATGTAACCAGAAGAGGAGTAGCGTTCGTCTCATCTTTAGAAAAAGTAGCGCATCCAGCATGTCGGACAAAAACAACGCTGTACGATGCTCCATCTTCTTGTTTCTCCAAAATGTCCAGCAGCAGTTGTAGACACTTCTGACGTCTGACACCGACCTGCTGTTGTTGTTGACGGTTGTATGGGGTTGGAAACAGACCCATATCGCCCCCTAGTTTTGGGGAGGAGGACACGTTCACGTCAATAATTAGATTTTTTCAGCTGCATGTAAACGAGGACAAGGAGAGAAGTCTGATTCGCAAAAAAAAAAAAATTGAACTATGAGCGATGCCAGAAACCTGAATGTATTTATCCTTTTACAATAACAGGTCACAGCTCAGAAGCTCTGAGAGCCAAAAAGACTCAACCACCAATATCCAAACATTACAGCGTCACTTTGGATCCAAACTCAAAGTCTGTGTTTGTGTTTGAGTACCCTCATCGTAACCTGACCACTAAACGACACTCTTGGCCTCAGCATGTTAACAGAGAGGATCTTCTGCAATCGAGGCCATCCTGAGCTCCACACCAAAACACCGGATGAGCTCCATGTGGAGGTATTTAGGTTTAGCAGAAGAAGAAGAGACACTCTGCCTTTGTGCAGAGCAGCTGTCCAACTCTATAAGACGACGAATCTGCGAGGAACCACAGAGGAGCGTACGATGTCTGCAGGTAATATTCAAAGGAGAGACTTTTCATGAAACCTGAATTTTTAAAGAACTTTACTTTATGAAGAAACTGGAGCAGGTGCAGACTCGCTGCAGGCCGGCACTAAAGTCCAGGACAACAGGGAAAACCTCATCATGAATGTTAGCGCCCCGGTTTAACCTTCTTATTCAGTTTTTAGTATCTTTGAGTCTTTTGGGAGAATTTTAACGAGAAGTTTTACTGTTTTTCATTTTCCTACAGCTAATGATTCAAGTCCAGCAGGAGCCTGTTAGTCCACTCTAGCTGAGGGGTAGGTGTTAGCCGAGCAGCTGAAGAAATCCCACTCAAGAAGTTCCTCATAAGTGACAGTAAAAAGTCGGTATGATGAGACTTCTTATCAGAAGACACCACATAAGCAATGACTGCTATGTCCACAGGGGGCGCCAAAGTTGACACAAACCGAAAGCCCCCCACCGGAGCTTTAGGTTTTGTTTTTTTTAAGGTGAAACAATAAAAACGTCTTCATCTACATCTTTGATTTTCTTCCTCTTTTTTTAATGTTGAGCAACAAACAGAAGCGACAGCACACACACCTGCGTATCTGCTCAGAGCACTTAGACGGCGAGCGTGCAAACAGCTGATGAAAGCCTCGACAACAATCACCCGGCTGTTTCCTGCTCAAACGAACAATTAACAAACATTTCAGCTGCAAATGAGAACACACGGGACGTTTGGGGATGGAGCGCTTTTCATCTGCTGAATTATTTATCTGTGAATGAATCAACTTCCCGCCTAATCTGTGTGTGTGTGTGTGTGTGTGTGTGTGTGTGTGTGCGTGTGTGTGTGTGTGTGTGTCAGCGGTGATGAGGTTCACGGTGTTCACTGGTGCTCAGCTGTGAACACTGAAACAGCGCTGGTGTGTAACCCGCTGATGCAAACAGGCTGCTGCTGCTGTGAATATGTGCATTTATGAATAAACATATCAACATATACACACATATATATTCATGACACCTGTGTGCGTGTGTGTGTGTGTGTGCACGCTCGTGTGTGGAGCTTCTGAGTGTGTGATGAGGCAGCGGAGTGATGGATGAAGAGAGGGATGGAAGGATTATCGGGGTTCAACCCCCGTTTGTCGATTTTCTGTCAAGCCTGACGCCTCTCTGCTTCAGGCTGTGCTGATGACTTCCAGGTTACGATGCATGCATGAATCTGTGTGTGTGTGTGCGCGCGCGTGTGTGTGTGTGTGTGTTCAATGCCTGGCTGCTTGGCTGATGGTGCAAATGAGCGATGGTTCCAGGAAAGACGTGCAGAGGAGGAACGAGAAAGAAGACGGTAAACGTGGAAAAAAGGGAAAGAAGCGAGAAGGAAAGAGAGTGATGGAGGGAAAAAAGGGGGGGTACAGGTTTCTGATGGATGGTCGTCTGAAAATGTAGGCGAGGCGGGAAGAGGGGAGAGTGAGTGATGGGGGGGAGAAGGAGCAGAGCCAAGGAGAGAGAGAGAGAGAGAAAGCAAAAAAACAGTGAAAAAGGCGAAGAGAGAGTGAAAAAAGACGAAGGGAGCGTGGAAAAGCAGCAGAAAAGAGCAGGAAAAGAGCAAAACCCCCTCCTGGACACACACTCACATGCACTATATCATACACACTAAATCACACACACTATATCACACACATTCACTATATCACACACACTCACCCATCTGCTTCTCCTCTCCGTGGGCGAGCCAGCGAGCGGCAGCCGTAGTGCCGGCACAGTTACGGCAGAGCCGGCTGGAGGAAGGGAGAGCGAAAGAGAGAGAGAGTGAGAGAGAGAGAGAGTGAGAGAGTGAGAGAGAGAGAGAGAGAGAGAGAGAGAGAGCGCAGTGGTAGTCCCTCCACCGAGAGGAAAAAAAAAAAGGAGGTGCAACAGACAAAACAGCAGCGAGCAACTCCTCGTGATCAGAATCCAGGTTTACTCCAAATCCACCTGAGAGACGAGTCCTCACACTGACACACACACAGGAGCGCACACACACACACGTACACACACGCAGACACGCGCACTGTCGCAATGACACCTCCTCCTCTTTCTTCTTCTTCTTTTTTTCTACCTCCAGCTGCTGTCTGGTTCTTTATCCCACATCAAAGATCAAAAAGAGGCTTTTCTTCTTCTTCTTCTTCCTCTTCTTCTTCTGTGGTTATTCCTGACGTACGCTCCTCCTCCTCCTCTTCCTCCCTGCTGCTGCTGTGGACTCTCTCCTCCGCGCTCTGCGTCCTTCACTGTCGGACTGGCTGCTGCTCCACAGCGCAGAGAGGCTGGACCGCATCCTCTCTCTCTCTCTCTCTCTCTCTCTCTCTCTCCCCTTACTCCCACCCTCTCCTGCCTCTCTCGCCCCCCCCCCCCTCTCTCTCTCATCTCTGCTCAGTCCAAACTCTCTCTCTCTCTCTCCCTCTCTCTTCTCCTCCTCTCTTTATGCATGCTCCATCCACCTGTTTTTATGCACAGTTTGGAAAAAAGGGACCAAAGTGCGCCTCACACCAGCTGCGTCACGTCGGCTGACAGCCGTCAACGCACGCCTGCAGCAGAAAACACGGCGAACATGTCAGAGAGACAGACGAAGGACAGAGAGAGAGAGAGAAGGAGAGAAGGAGAGAGAGAGAGAGAGAGAGAGAGAGAGAGAGAGAGAGGGCAGCTCCTCCTGACAGGATGGTGACAGATCTGATGCTTTTCTGCAGCGCTGACACATGTCAATGTTGGAGAATCTGAAGATAGGAGGATGTCTTTCTGCGGTCTTCAGTTTTCAGATTTACCCAGCATGCCTGTTGGTTATGTCTGCATCAGGGACTGTCACCAAAAAACCATTATTGAGGAATCCATGTGGTTTTTACTACGAACACACCGACTGAAACTCCCAAACTGACGAGGAAACTTTGGTCCGACTCCCCGCTCCGTTCTCAGTGTGGAACTGAGCCACACCGCCACCAAACGGAGAATTTCCCTCGACATAAACTCCATGATGAGCTCTGAGACCCTCGAAAACATGACTCGAAGTCTGGCTCCGCCCATTTTGTTGGCTCCGCCCACTTTGTTGATTGTTTAAAACATTTAAAACAGAATTGGGCACAAACCCAAAAGGTTTAAAATTTGGAAATAAAAATAAAAGGAACTTTCTTCATCCACCGAATAAATAAATAAAAAAAACACATTTTAGAGGTTTTTGAATATTTCACCTCCTGCAGTTCCGAGGACGGAGGAGGCGTTGATATGAGACGACCTTTGACACCAGCTGTGATGCATTTGGTCTTTAAAGTCTACGAAGGCTGCAGCTCATAAACTGGGACACAAATAAAGTTTTTCTTCATGTTTTGGTCTCACAGCAACAAGTCGACTAAAGTCTTCTGGTGAGTTCAAGTTACATCGAAGTTAGAAGTCCGAGCTGAAAATGACGTCACACCCAAGTTCCCAAGTCGGAAAAAAGCTAAATCGGAGTCAGAAACAAGATGGCTTCATCTACGAAAGTTATTTCAGTGCTTGCCTTGTCCGATTATAAGGCAAATGCTAAAATAACTTTCGTAGATGTAGCCATCTTGAGGTTTTCATCTTAAGGTTTTCTTCAGGTTTTCAAAAACACCTTCCAACATGGAAATTTATCTGTATCTTTGTTGCCGTGGTTACTTAAACTCGCACATGGGTATTATTTATCATTATACAGTGATGCGAGGGTGAATTGGTCTTTTGTAAAACATGTAAACACACTGACTGTGAACTAAACTTCTGCACATGTTGTTGAGAAGTTGCAGAGGGCTCGCAGGGACGCGCTGAGATCCCCGAGTTCGCCGA